GTGTGTGTGTGTGTGTGTGTGTGTGTGTGTGTGTGTGAGAGAGAGAGAGAGAGAGAGAGAGACAGAGAGACCCCGAAATCACCCCATGTCAACACCACTTCGCTGCGCTGCCGGCACACCTCCCGCTCCGGAGAAGATGTCCCCATGCATCTTGCTGAAAAGACATGCAACTGCGTCCGTCCAAAACCCCATTCCCATGTCAACACCGCATCGCTGCCCTCCCCGTACACCCCGCCCCCCTGTGAAGACGTCCCGATGCATCCTCCTGAAAACGCATCCCCCTACTGTGTCCCGCACCCCCTCCTCCTCGAAGCACGTCCCGCTGCATCCCACCACGATCGCGCGAGAGCGGAGGGACCGTCGCACACACACCCCGCCTCCGAAACCGAACGGACAAACAACCGCCGCTGGTCTCACGAGGCGGGAAACCGACAAACTGGTGGTGCTCCGTCCGTGGGCCTGTGGACCGCTTCGCGCCTCTCCTCAATCCCCTGTGGCACCGCGCGGACCCGGACCGCTTCGCGCCTCTCCTCAATCCCCTGTGGCACCGTGCGGACCCTCGGCCTGCTCGCGTTTGGCCGCCGTGCCGTTTCGCCGGCCTACTACTCCTCCCGGCCCCTTTGGCCGCGGTGCCGTTTCGCCGGCCGCTCCTGGCATGGGCCCTGGGCCCGTCTCCACTATTCCCAACACTCGCAACGGGTGCTCGCGTGGGACCGTCACGCGGGACCCTCTATTTGCTTTATAGTATTAGAGATAATCCTATGCCAGGCCCAGACCAGGTAAGTTATCTTTGCATTGGACTTCCAGAATGCGGACCCTCGGCCCGCTCGCGTTTGGCCGCCGTGCCGTTTCACCGGCCTACCACTCCTCCCGGCCCCTTTGGCCGCGGCGCCGTTTCGCCGGCCGCTCCTGGCATGGGCCCTGGGCCCATCTCCACTATTCCCAACACTCGCAACGGGTGCTCGCGTGGGACCGTCACGCGAGACCCTCTATTTGCTTTATAGTATTAGAGATAATCCTATGCCAGGTCCAGACCAGGTAAGTTATCTTTGCATTGGACTTCCAGAATGTCTCCCTTTGACCGTAAGCGAACAACATTGCTCCATTACTGGACTCTGCCAGTGGGCTCATTCGCTCCTTCTCCTGATATGGGGGGACAGCTGTATTTGGACTACTCTATTTCCTTTTCTCAATGTTATGTCAGCCTCCCATTAACTACGTACCAACCACCACACATGAGCCCTAAGTCTAGCTGAACCTATGTAGCACGCACATAGCATGGGACACTGAAAGCTACGAGTAATGGCCCCCAGGTAATCGCCCTAAGATATCCTGGCCTACCCATCCCCTCGAGATCGCGCCTATCCCCTCAGGGTTGAACCTAACCCCTAGCAACGGATGGGAGGGGCGAAGTCATGCAGAAGCCCCTACCAAGACCAACCAGGGGGGGGCGGCAAGCCAACTATCTCAGCTGGTGAACCCAAAGCGCGCCGCAGGGGCCGTGCGGAGTCAAATGGATGATGTGGGAGTCGAACCCACGACCTCCTCACCGCCACCTGATGTGCTCTTCGAACTGAGCTAGGCTGATGGCCCCTGATGCAAATCTTTAAATAGAGGGTCTTCCCTTTCTCTTTTTTTTTTTTTTTTTTTCAAAGAAACAGAACCTTGCGTTTCTGGTCCCCTATCCGTTCTGGGGAGCGTCAGTCCAGTTCCCTTTCCACTAGCTAATCAAAAAGTTACATCAAATCTGCTTCTCCCCATTCTGGTTGGGAGACCCAAGTGGGCAGCATTGATGTTTGACTACTTTCCAAGGGAAGGATGTACCTCCCCTCACCCCTGCCTAAGCTAATGGTTTAAACCA